GTTTATTTTTGTAAATTGCATTTAATATTGATTTAATAATATTTGCCGCAGTTTGTTACCATTAAGGATTGCTATTGAACATTTTTTACTTCGGGTTTGTTCATTATTTAATAGATAGACTTCCATGATTTTTCTTGCAAACTATTTTAAAAAACACTACACACATGCATGCTTGTTGTTAAGAGATTTACATTTTCTGATTTAAAAGAAATAAGAAAGTTTTTTGTTTTTTGTTCAAAAATGGCTTTGTTCTTTGAAGTATACTGGAATTATTGTGTTGAGCAGGAAGCTCAAATGTAGCGATTAAATATACAAGTTATACAAGTTGCTTGGTAATGAGTTTTATGAGCATAACTGAGCATATTTCTGGAGTCCTGTTCCCAGACAGCTAACAATTACAGACTTTCCATTATTGATCATACTTAATCCAAGGGTGAAGAAGTACTTTTATGCACACAGCATTGTGTAAGATAAAGAAATAGAAACTGTATGGATGTTTTCAAAGACAAATAGCCATTTTACAATATTTTCTGTACTCACAGTACTGTAGGTCCACGTACCTGTATGGTCTATATCTTCATGACCTGTATGTCTTTCTCATCGGTTCTGAAGTGGGATGCTAATTAGTTACATTTTTGATGAAAGATTTGTACCTATACTGTAGGTCATAAATACAGGCACAAAGGGTAGAAAGAAGACACATATTTGGGAGTTATGATCCAAAAGTATGCCTTTCTGTTACGTGAGGAAAGATTTGTTGTAAACTGAAAACATTTTTTCCTTTTTTTCCTTTTAAATCTGAAGAGTTAAGCTGTTTCAGAAACACCAAGCTCTGTTTTGAATACATGCATCAGATGGAACATTTGTTTTTACTGCCTGTATGTGTCACTCCAGTGAGGTCCAAAAATAAAATCCAGTATCTGAATTTAGGAAGGTTTCATCACATCACCCAAATAATGACTAATCTTTCTTATTCATGCTAAAAAATATTAAAACATACTGTAACTTAATGGGAAACATAATCTGAATTATTTAAGTATGTTATGATTTCATTATACTCCTAGCTTCTCTTTATTGTTCATTGGAAACACAATGCTGCTGAACTTTTCCCCATTAGTTTAATAACTTACTGTACATATAGTACGCTAATAATGCCTGTTTTCCTGTCAGCTGAATCCAGTTAATATGAATTCATAAATTCAATAAAACTTTAACACTAGAATTGTTATTTATGTAGCTGAGGACATAGTAAAAGAAATGAATAAATTGAAAGCCAAAGACTCAACAAAACAACATCCTATGACGGATTTAGACAACCTTTCTGCTGTTGCCTAGCAACACAGTAGATTTGTTGCTCAAACAGCTGTTTCTTGGGAAGGAAGGGTTAAAATGCAGTTTTAAAACTGTTCTCTTTTGAAGTGCTTAATTCATGCCTGTAAAGATTAAAAAGTGCCAAAACACATTTTAATGTTTTTATCCTCAATATCTGGATTATTTAATGTTCTGGGGTCAAATGTATTGTTGAATTAATTTTTAATGGACAGTTTTACTTAAAGAACTGTGTGATGAATGACATTTTTTTTTTCTTATTACGGTTCTTAGGATCATAATTGTCAATAACAAACATAGCAACCATTACAAAAACAGCAATGAAATCTACACAGCTCATAATATTAATAAGAAATGTAGTAGTAGCAGTGGGAGAAGTAAATGTTAGGGGTCTTATTGCCTATGTTATTGTATCTCCCTCCTTCTGAATCTGGTAACGGTAGTAATACCACAGGAGAATCATGTTAAAGAAGAGTGTGCTGGTAGCATTCACATGACTGATACTGTGAGAAGGGTTTTTTTGAACAGCTTTAGTCTGTTCTCACAGTCGGCTCCCCAGCTGACAGACAGCATTATGTGGGGTGGGCTTTGTCACCAGAACGCTGGGTGCTGCGTGCCTAGCAATGTTTGCCATTACTCAGTGCCCAAGAACCTGCTGGGTTTTTTTAGGGTGCAGGCAGCTAAGTCACAGAGAAACTGGGGGAGTCTTTTCATTTGTTTGTTTCCTTTGTCCTGTGCGCAAAGAAATTACAATGAGGGAATTGGAGTTAAAGTAGGGAAAGAGGGAAAATGAAGTCTTTGTTGAATGCCTTAACAAAGAAAGAAGGTAAGAGGGAGATTATTTTGCAATCAAGTATGGGACTTGATGTTTGGATGTGTGAATGTTATTGTTTTTGATGTTGTGATTTTAATGATGCTCATGTATTTTCTGTTTGCTGTTAGACTACTTCTGTTCTTCAGTTCTGAAGTGGTTTTAGACTGTAGTTTGTTTCTATGAATAGCATGCCATAACAATTATTACAGACACTGAAAGTTAACATTTAATTATTCTATGTATTTGAATGTTTAATTGGTGTGCTTTTTTAACATTTGTGTACTGGATTACTAAATGTTCATCTTTTTATTCCATTGCCTTTTTTTATATGAAAACTACTTTCTCATTTATAGTTTCTGATGAATTGTGATTTAAAAAAATATTGGTCTGAATCTGTATATTCCCCTGAAAACAGAGATGCACAACTCAATGATATGAAACATGTTTTAAGAAACTTACGCATAAAATAACAACTTTAATTTTTTCCTTGCTGATGAGAGTATTATTGAGAGTATTTAATTTGCTAGTAAATTATAAAAATCTGCCAAACATTTTTTCAAATTTACAGTATTGTGGCATTTTAGGTGATGTGTGTCGATTTGTTTTAAAGTTTTTGGTTTGAAAAAATATGTCTCAGTGTGTAATATCTCATTACGCTGCTATATAATGGAAAACAGATATAAATATATCTCTTCTACAATTCGCAGTGGAGAAAAGACACCCACTTACATTTCTCTGACATTCTAAAAAAAACGGCAGCTCTGCTGGGTGGAATATTAATCAATTTTCCATGTGAACCAGTTGTTGTTTTAACCCTGTTACTTCCCTATTCATTAAATTGACTAGAAATTAAAATCTCAAAAGACTCTGGACACATACTGTATAAGACATTGAAATCATCCTATTGTGTTTTTTTATCCTCCCCAAATGTTTAATTAACATTTTAATATGTAAATTCTTTTAAAAAAACAATTAAAGTTAAATACTTTTAAAGGAAATTTTAAGGTTTAGGATTAGAGCCAGTGAAGTAATAAGATGGCTGTTTTAATCTGCATATCTGCTAGGCAAAGAAATAATATAGATTACACTGATTAAATCCCACTGTTGCATAACACACACTGTTTTTAATGAAAAAATAACTGATATAGAGTAAGAATCCTGTGTGACAATTCCTTTTACAGTGCGATTAATGCCTTTGATTTTGACATTTTTTTGTGGCTGTTTTGCCCTTTTTCTCCACATTTGCGTTAAATTTGTTGGGCCCCTTCTGCTTCTCACGAAAGCCTAATGTGCTGTAATGTACTGTAATCAAGCAGGTGCTCCCTAACTTATTTGTCCTGTCTCAGGGCAACTGACCAACTGTAATGATTTGCATGGTTCAAGTGTTCTGTTCTCGGAAACGGTGTAGTGCTTGTTTCACAAGGGCACTGGAAGCACTGATATGTGCATGGTGCAGTTGGTTGCTCGTTTGAGATTCCAATAAACATTATTAGGTGTGTGCCTGTGCATGCTTCTACTGTACATGTGACATTGTCTGTCTCACAGTTGCAGTATTATTGTTAGGGGGAAGAGCTGCTTTATTATTTCTCAAGTTCATGCAAGTTCAAACGTTTTTGCTCTCCCTTCTGGATACCTCTAGGTTACCAAAGTCAACTTCAAAGTTATGTTGAAGTTGACAGCATCTGTATCTGTACTAACTTCAGATAACCGATCTTCCTTGTTTCAGCTGTTGTGGATCTGCAGAGCAAGAGATACTTAGAGTTTGTTGTTAGTTTGCTCCTGTTGGATTGTGTAGCTTTGATAGAACGTGGAGGATTGTTTTTTTAAGTTGGATCAAAGAAAATGACCCTTGCCTGGAAACAGCAAGTATTTATATTGTTACAGACAAGTAATACAATCAGCACCGCTGCTCTGAATTAATAACAAAATACAGTATATGGCACTTAATGAATATGTTTTGTAGTACATGAGGCTTTTTGTAAAAAAATGCTTATTTTTCACAACAGTTTCCATAAAAATGATCAGCAGAATGGTTCCCGTAACCATTCTTTAATTCAACCAAAACAGACCAATACCCAGGTGCTTGACCTGTAAGCAGACACTTCTGTTAAGTGTTCACTAGCATAAAATTATGGTCAAGTGAAGAAAAATTATTATGAGAATTTGATTCCATGAAAAAGAATTGCCATGTATCTTTTCTCTGAATAGATTGTGTATCAAATTTCTCTATATCCAGCACTTACGATTTCTCATGAAACCTTAATCTCTATTAGGAGGAGCACATTTAATCACTTCTTTCATTTACAATGGGTACCACTTGAGGACATCAGAACCAATGGAGCCGTTAATCCCTGGTAAAATTACAGACCATGTTGAAAAACATGACAAGCGTATTCTTTTTTTCTTTAGCATTTAGGACGCATGGCAGAAATGAATGCAAATGTGTTTTTCCCCAACAGTTTTTATGTGTCATCACTGTAAAGTCCGAAATCCATAAATGAAAAACCCCAGTGGGTTCTGGTCCTTGAACAGCCTCTAAGCCTTTAACAGTCTTGATGTTTCCAAATCAAGCTGCAAAAGTCGAACTTTCACTTGCATATTGTATCAGTTATATTGGATTGACACCACTATGACTGGACGCGCACATAAACATGTCTTGCTTTTGGGTAATTGATCATTCTGCCAAGACATGGGATGACACTTGAGGATCATGCAAATAAAGCAGTGGAGCGAATGGTTTCAATGGTATTGACTCTTCCAACATCCGGATCATGGATGTCTTCTGTATGTACAGTATTGGCCCTTCCATCATCCTGAGCGCTAATGTACCTCCTCTTCCTGTGGATGTCTGTTTCAGTGCCTTTCCGAGAGGCACCAACATACTCCAACCGGCGCAGGGGACCCCAGAGCACGCTTGCAGCCCCCCGGGTCCTGCTGCGCTCCAACAGCGACAACAACCTGAACATCAACAACCTCCCCGACTGGCCGGCCGCCTCCGCTCCCTCTTCACACCGCAGCCTTTCGCCACAATTGCTTCAGCAGATGCAGAACAACCCCAATGGCACTGTAAAGACAGTCGGGGGTGGCGCCAGGGGTCCCCGCAGCCGCTCGCCCTCTCTGAACCGACTGGGGGAGGAGGTCAAGAGGCAGCCCCACCGGCAAGTCAGGTAAGAGGCCGTATCCGCGGCGGAGCTCACGACACTGCTGGGCGGTGCCGGAGATTATTGGCCGGAGGCACAGCACCAGGCAAACCTCCAGATCCAGTTTCTGGGGAGCCCGATTGTGCGGGGAGATGGTGGTCAGAGTGTTGATTTGGACGTAAACGATTTCATCAGGTGGCATCATTGGAGAAGGGCTGTGTAATCCCCAAGTCTGAGTGCAGTTGGGCGGTTGTCGTCTTTTGATGATTCAGTACAGTCTGACAGGTTTGGAGTTTTGTACTTGTGTTTTGTGGTGCCTTTTTGGGTTTGGTTTGGGAACAGTGGAGGTGAATCAAAGGATTAGGTGGAGATCCTGCGTGTCACCCTGCCTTCACTTTTTTCAGACTTTTCTGCATTTTCAATTTGACAAAAACACTTGAACAGCAGACAAAGAGAAAGACACCTTTATCTTATGTGGTCCAGATTGTAGAACAGCTGAATCTAGGTCTTCATCTGCTGATCATATGCACATTTCTGCATCCCCAGGGGACTGCTAAAATGATTCAAAATGTGGGACATGGTAGCGTTAAAAAAAAAAAGCACCATTTCGGAGTTTGGCCCAGATTGACCAGAATTAGTCTGCAAGTACAGTATAAATTATATATTTATTTGATTTTTTTCTCTTTGATAAAGGAACATCAAACACGGTCTTTTTGTATGCAATAAAAGTGTGTAACATATTGTTAAAAGGATTAAACTAAAACCAGCCTTGGTAAAGGTACTTTAAACTGCAGCACAGTGCTTGCTGAGAAGTAGCTTTCAAAAGGGGTCCAATTTTCAGTAATGCATCAACTTCATATTGTACAGTATGTTTCCTGATTGAACCATTCCCTGATTAAGTTAAATGTAATATCAGATTGAGGTTTATTAAAGAGAAAGGCTGAAAAGCAGAACTGGTGTTCACTTTGTGCTGTCTGTGATGTTGTCCATTAAAGACATATTGTAATCAATAGCAGATGTTTATAAAAGTCTGGGCTTTTGCTTCATAGCTGTTTTTTGGGGTTTAGATGAGCATTAAATGATATGAAGAGGCTTAAGTTGTTTCATGACAGTTGTTTCATGCTGTACGTTTTTACTGCACACTATTATGTTTTGACTATGCCCTTGTAGTATACTCTTAATGACTTTGTAATGATATTTTGATGCTGCCTTATAGACACAAACAGTCCCTTTGTTGGATTTTATGTCTTATAAAGAAAAAATGCATGCAGTGAATATGATCACAAACTTCTATGCTGTGATTTCAGAAATGTTCTCTATTTATTGGAATTGTTACTTATTTTAGGAAACGGTAAAAAGTTTGGGGATTGAATGTTGTCTTCCCTTAAAGGGATAAAGAAATTATTTAATAAGCAGTACAGCGGACACACAGCAACAGTTTTTTTCTAGAGTCTATCCATCCCTTTTCCTGTGTGAATTTCAGATTTGGAATTTAAAAAATAGTTTTCACTTCGGTTGTGAAGAATTAAAGTCGGGATCTCTGCACCATAATTTAATATGAATACAGGTAATAATATTCATCACAGTCCATCACATTTAACAGCACAACTTGTTAAAATGCTTAGTTGTCATTATTTCTCCATCTCCATACTGTATGTTTTCCTTATAAAGGCCATTTTTTATCCCTAAAAAAAGTGCTTGATTTTGAAGACAACATTTTATCTACTGTATGTACAGGTATATTCAGTATATGAGCATTCTGGTGGCATTTCAAGCCTATACTGTATACCCAGATTTGTACATATTCTTTATGAAATATAATTCTTACATTTAATGGCTTTTCATTTAATTCAAATTCTCTGTTTACAAGCGCGGACAATAAAGGAAACAGTCTGTGAAGTATTTAGGCTCCACTTGAGTCTTCTTTTGGAAAATTGCAAACATGAATAGTGTAGTTGGAAACAAAGTGAAATGGCTTTTAAAACTGAGAATGGAAAGCCCTTTCTTTCCCCAAAGGGTTGTAGGAGTATGGACTAAGCTGCTCGGCCGTATTGTAGAGGCTGATGCCCTGGCTTCCATCAAGAAATGGCTAGATGAGATCCTCAAATGACTGCTAAGCCTTTCTTATGGTGTTCTAATATACAGTATCTAAGGTAGAGAAGAGCAAATCGTTTGCAGAGCAAGTGAACTGGTACACACAAAATGTTTAATATAGGGACACCAGAGGAAAACTGAAGAAACTACTGTATAAACCAAGGTGAATTACTTACTTTGTAAGATATACGGGGCCTGAGATGAGTTAAGAATAATAGAGCAATTCGAATATAAGTCTCATTATTGATGTAAACTTGTCTGTAATTTCTTTGTAACCAGTGACAATCTATTACCTTCTTATATTTTTAAATTTATATTTTAATTTTTTAAATTATTTTGTGTTGTGTAAAAAAATATATTTTGGACGGTGATTTCCTTGTGAAACAGAGAGGGCACATTTTAAGTTATCTTATGTTATGTTATCTCATAAAACACTAGTGATGATTTTAATGAATTGTCATGTGTGTGTTTTCAGAAATTTGCACAATTATTAATAATTATAGAATCAAAGGAACAAGTGGGTACATAATGCAGATTCTTCTCTATAGACCAATAGCTTTTGTGTACAAACAAAATGTTTCTTTATAAAGTTTTATAGTGATTCACTACATCGTCAGTGGTTGTCAGCCCAAAAAGGTATCACACTGCCTTAAGGTCTATATAACCAGACAAAAGAGAAGGTTCTAAATATTAAAAAAGCTATATGATTAAATAAGAAGAAGTAATACAATCATGAGAAACTGCATGTATGCATTTCTATGTCCTTTAGGGTGGGTTGAAAAAGCATAGAAATGGACATGCTCTAAGCCTTAAAGTCCCTGCTGTAGCATATATTTGATTTATTAGATAAATTGTGGCCTCCGAGTTTCTTTTCTTTTTATAGGACAGTCAGTCTCCACAAGCATAAATATGGCTCTGTGACATGTCCTGTGGGTTGGATATGCTGTATATTCCACAACCACTGTACTTTTTCAAAAGTGGAAGGGCTAAGCTGACATCAGATGTTAGTGTGTGCAACAGCTGAAAGTAGTTCTTAAAATGGGATCCTCTCTTTTCCTTGGTTACTAGAATGGTTGCTATGTCTATTATAGCATAGTGATAATTGTTACACCATACACTCTATATAACGTTGTTTCAAAAAACCTGTGTCAGCAGAATCAATGGGGTTTTGCACTGATGTAATACTTTGGAATTAGCACTTTAGGCTTATGCAATTGTTGCTGCTGAGGCATAAACAATTGGCTTTTTTGTTGTCATTCAAGCATCTCAGCAACAAAGCAAAATGACAGAATATGAGAAGATGTTTTGGTTATATCCCAGCTGCAATGATCAGAATAATCCAGGAACAGTCTGTCACTCTGCTGGGGCTGGACTTTGCAACCAATTGTCATGCCAAAGCAACCATGCACTGAACCAGATCCACTGCAAAAACTGGAGTTGTCAAAGATGCACATCAAAAGGACAACTCGAAATCTGCTGTAGTCAAATTGAATTGGTTTGCTTCCATTCGGTTGTAGATAATATATATAATATGCTGAATAATTTTTAAGAGCAACAGTAAAAGTATGTTTAAAACACAAGTCTAATGTTGTTGAGAAATCTGGTTGCTGGACAGTTTTAGTCATGTTATGCATGTTATGTCTTTTTTGGTTTACATTTAAAATTAATTGAGAAACTGTCTTGCAGAATATTAATATAATAAAGTGAGAGGTATCTATTAAAACCCCCAAACATGCCTTAGTACGCTGTAAAAGAAACATGAAGTATTGTGCAGGAAGAGATTGGCGCTGTTTGCTTCCTGTGTAAATATGACCCGGTTTTACAAACCTCCAAACAAGATGCAGCAAAGATGAAGGGCTGGCTAAGGCTTCTCTGACTGGCAGGTGTTGTCCTTCAAGTCAGGACTGAGGTGTTTTGGAACAGTATGCGGAGAAGCTTTTTCAACCCCAACCCTCCCCCAACCACTGAGGCTAGCTGCACCAAGTTTTGAAACAGCAAACACAGAATAAAGAAATCAATAAAGATGGCCTTGTGTCAGACTTTGGTGCTGACGGGTTTTTCTCCCTTTTAATTGGCCAGTGGGAGATTGTTTATTGCTGTTTATAAAAAAAAAATTGCAAGTGTGAAGTAAAAGTAGCTTGTCTGTTTATTAATCATGAGCCTCAATTCTCGTATGTGTATGCTGTTTTTTTACGCATTAATGGATCCCCGTAGACTGTAGGCTGCCTTCTTTGTGGTTTTCAAGTGGTTTTTAATAAGCCCTATGTGAGACAAGTAAAATTAGAGGAAAGGTAATTGTTGTCAACTCATAAATCGAAGAACAGAACATCCTGCTGAGGAAATAATTGGAAATGCACTTTTTATTGTATCGTCCTACACATATAGTGTCCCATTGATACTACTGTACATGTTGACGAAAGGTTGTTTACTCTTACTTCCTGGCAAATTGTTTTTCCTCACTTTGGTTTCTGTGCTGCATATTTTTTTTAAATCATATAACTTATTGTCTCACACTACACAATTTCAAGAATTAGTCCAAAGTCTAATTTATGCACAGGTATTTAACTAACTATGGTGGGGGAGGGGGGAAGGATTGTGTTGTGGGTAAGCCTTATGATGTATGAATGACAGGTTAAGGAATAAAGTCTCCCATTCCTACATCTGCCTATTATCTATTTTTAAGGGACCATCTTGAGCTGTTTGCATCCTTTCTCTGCCTTGTACAGGAGTTTTTGCATTCTTGCATTGCAGCTTTGTCTTTTGTTTAGAGCTGAATGTGTGACCCTAAAGTATTTCAGTTAAAAACGACTTCAGGGAAAGTGGGGGTAAAATAAGAGCCATCATACAAATAATTAAATAATTCAATCGAATTAGTAATTAAAGCGATTCTTAAATTATACCTTTCCATCCACTCAACAAGTAGGGAAGCAAGGGAGGAACAAATACATACATACAGACAGAGTTGGTGGTCTGAGATATGAAAAATAACTAAACCTCATATTTTCACCATAATTTTCAAAGACAGTCGGATGGTTGAGTAATCTAGTCACCCTGTTATGTATTTGGCAAGTGTAATTCATTTTAAAGTGTGTAGGAAGTAAATTCCTTACATAATGCCCAAAGTTTCAAATTGCAAGTATTTATAGAGAAAGAAAAACAAGATTAGATTTTCTAATACAATCCTTACTTTGAAAATTATCTGATATTGTTAAACCCCTACTTACTGCAACACTGCTGGATCTATTGATACCTTAATTAAATGACTTTCACAGCATTGACTGCTGAGCTGAGCCCACATGGATGCATGTACAGTACATCCCTGACATTGGAAATGGATACAGTTTGTGTAGAAAAGTATTCAAATGTGAAAAAAAGAAAAGATAAACTTAAAAAATTGAAAGTTAATACATTATGTACTTGATTGAATTTCATCTTGAAGGTTTAGAAATATTTGAAGGAGATGTCCGAGAATGAATTGAAAAATGCATTTCGGTGTTAAGAAATATTTGTCATCTGAAATTCAACAGCATCCATTATTTGAAATTTCAGTGGCAAATGCCCAATTCTTCTCAGTTAAATGTTGTGATGGTTCTATACATGGTGATAAGAAAACAACTATCTGTGAAGTCATTACCTCAGTTAGTCTTTTTACTGCTTAGGTGACTTTAATAGTCTTAGGACATTTAGATACCACAACAAGGATAGCAAAGGAGAGGAGGCCATTTCACCTGTCACCTGATTGATTGTTAGTACCTTACTTATCTGAAGATCTAGTCCAGTTGTTTCCCAGATTAAACTAGGGTATCAGCTTCACTGTGGATGGGTAACATTTCAGAATCCACAACCAAAAACACAAGGCCATATTCTGTAAGACTACTTGTTATTACTATATCACGGAATGGATTTAAGTGCTAAAATACAGTTACAGTAAATGCACACACACACGTGTTACTTACTTGGGACAATTACAGATACAGATACAAAAATACAGCAGACACCATTTTCTGTCATACAGTAACTGCTTAAAAATGTATTTCCAACTAAGGAAAAACTAAGTAGATTGTATACTGAGTGAAATAATCATGGTTGTAGTATTTGTTTTATCTTGCTTGCAGTTCTCACTTTTAAATACTTAAAATTACTGATATTATTTTAAACCTTGTCCCTTTATTGACACATTAAGAAATAAGGTATTCTCTTGTGATCTAACCTGGTAATTCTAAAAAAAAAATGTCAGCAGATTGATGCCACAGCTTTTTCTTCCCTGTTGTGATAATGGGATCTTATCAAGGTTCATGTGTGTCTGAATTAATAATCCACTGTGACATTCCAATTTTCTTATCACACCAAGCTATTAGTACTGCTGATTCAAGTCATCTTATGGTAAACAGCCACTTTCATCACTAGAGGCATTAACTGGGAGTGCAGTCAGACCTGCTATAGAGAGAAAGTTAAATACCAGACCCGTCTTTAACCTGTGCCGTTCTTGTTTTTTAAATCTGCTTTGTTTTCATTAATGCAAATATCCCGTAAATCGAAAAATAGTTTTACACACGTGTTCTACAGAAATGCGTGTAATTTTAGAAAAGTATACTATGAATGATAACTACTACTGCATAAGGCTGAAGTATTCTGTGAATCTTTTTTATTTTGTTATCTGTTTCGCAATTAAATTAATAGCGATAAATGTCACTTTATTTAATAAATAATGAAGCTGGGAAACAGGAAACATATCCTCTTTATTTCTACATGGTTACCGTATTTTCATGCCCTCGTATAAACGATGACAATCACAGTATAATATAGTATGAAAGTCTTCAAGTCATACTACTTAAATATTCCAATTTTTTTTATTTTAATGCTTAACTATAATAAAACTTCTGCTAGTATATATGAGCTCCAGGGTTACTAAAAATCTCATTACGTAGATCTGTTGGAAGCGCTTCCTTATTTGGTGTACGATAAAATACTCGTATTAGCCACCTGAGGGCGCTGTTACGCAACGTTTTTATTTTTAGCACGCTACTCGCAGAGAAAGTGACTTCTTTGCAAATTTCAAGTCTTCGATTTAACCTGACCCGTTTTCCCTAGTCATCTTATAGATCATCATTACATACCCCATTAAAATCCTACTGTGAAGCAGCATGAACGCCTTTGAAAGATTATGTTTTCTTATTCACTTGATTTATATTTTAGTCCAAACGTGTTTGTTGATCTTAATTCTATAACACATTGCTGAAATACAGCTACAGTAGAGTAAGTAAAATGATTAAGTTGTCATTTTCCGTGAGTTGGAACATACCTTGGAGACTTCTTAACAAGGTAAGAAAATGCAAAGGACACATGTGTCATCATCTCTTAAAACAGAAAAAATATATCACTGTGTGACTGGGATCAAAGTCAGCAAAGTATGAATTTTAGGATTAGAGGAATGCACATTAAATCTTCAGGGTCCTAAATTCAACCATAATATTTCTTGAATTATCTACAGAAGCAGAGCAAATTTACTCAATGGGGCACTTCTCAAGTGCTCTTGATGAACAGATGAAGTGTGCTTTTTTATGCTTCTGATTATGCTAATTTTATATAATTCTGGTATTTCAAACTCATTTCTTATGCATTCATGTAATTTCACCTTGTTTATTTTTTACAGCACATATTGGTATAGTGCTTCCTTTATAAAACATCTGAACATGGACTAAGCACTCAATTTGACTTAAATCTACAGTTATTTTCTTCTTAAACACCTTTCTTGTTAAACACCATAAAATGTCTTCATCCTGGGGAAGAAGGATCTGGGTATAACCCTGTTTTAGAAATGGATGATATTACCTAAATAAAATATTTTCAACTTGATATATATTTATATTTATATATATTTATCAACTAGGAATTGCTTAAATCGTTTGTCTTGGGGAGAAAAAAAAGTTTTCAAAGCTGCACCAAAGAAAGTTTATTTTCTCTATGTGAAATTGTCTTTTTTGGGACTCCCCTCTTTCTAATTTAGCAGCCGGTGACTTTCGTCATCTCTTTGTTCTCCTGCAGTCCGAATGCCAACAGGGAAGCAGTCTCCGGCCTGGATTTTCAAGGGAAACGGAAGCTTTACAGTGCCGTCCCTGGGAGGCATTTTGTTGTTGTGAAGCCATATCAACCTCAAGGAGATGGAGAGATACCTCTATACAAAAGCGACAGGGTAAAAGGTTGGTTCTTCCTTCATCCTCTTAAACTGCAACACAGACGGCTCCAAGGTCTAAGTCTGCAAGCATGTTGCCATTAATTGTGTGTCAGAGAAGAAGAAACATCCATGGAAAAGGAAATTGGTCAGCCAATCTCAAAAATGCTGTTTGTGCCGACTTGTCTAGATTCTGGTTAACAATGATGGATCAGTAATATATTTTATTACTGTATGTGTTTCTAAGCATGGGATAATGGATCTCTGTATTTCATTTTCTTTTATCATTGAGAATATATTATTTGTAATCTTCTTAGATTATTTAAAGTTTTAAAATAACTATCAACTGTCAAAATACAGAAAGACCCTTTTTAAAACGAATCATCTTAATAATATAATAGATGATTATAACTCACTGTATAAGAGCAATATGATTTTCCCAGATTGTACCAGTAGATCAGTGCTCTGTTGGACTGTTGCAGAAAACATTTACTATCCCGATGTGAAATAAAACATCCAAGAGCAAAGATATGGGAATCAATTAATTTTGGCCTCTTCTTTACTAGTTGTTCCAGCAAAAAGCAGCATCAGTTTGGATTTGGGTTAGAGCTCAAATTTAATTAGGGTGAAAAGTATGTTTGGGTTACAGGTAGAATTAGAGTGATATTAGGGCAGACTTAAGGTAGACTTTCTAAATGAGGATAAAATTAATTGATCAATTGTTTGCTTTACATTGTAATGATCTGCACAGTACAATACACTTTTATAATTCCTAAGACTCAATGAATACAAAATACATAACCAAAGCATTATTGTTTTGCTTTTAAAATAAGTCTGTAAACACTTGAAGTAAAGAGACAATGGAAATTATTCAAAATAAGGAATACAATATTTTTTACAGCCCTTATTTTTCTTGGAATTTATGAGCCATAAGAAAATTGATTCCGTTGCCTGTTAAGATTAATTCGGGAGAATTAACAGGCAAGACAGTCGTCTAAAGAAGGTGTTAGGATTCTACATCTTTTAAAGCGAAAAGTTGTGTGTGTGCGTTTTTTAAACCACACTACACATTTAAGTCCAATCGTTTTTCTTCCTTCTCCTTGTCCCAGTCCTAAGTATAGGAGAAGGGGGATTCTGGGAAGGCAGTGCCCGAGGGCATGTGGGATGGTTCCCTGCAGAATGTGTGGAGGAGATTCAGGCGAAGCCAAACGAAAGTAAACCTGGTAAGTGAGAGCATGCTTGCATCTACAGGAGGTGAGTGTGTGCTCAGATTTGAACTGCATTAAACGAGTGCTGAACATGTTACTGAAATCAGGAAAGAATTGACCATAGCACACGCTCTCAAGCACCTCATTGCAGTTATCTGGGGCAGCCTGTGCAAATGTGCCAAACATTACTGAATGATAGTATTCCAGTCCGTGAAAAGTAGGTTGTCATCCTCCACTTCACATCAGCTGTCAGCCATATGGGGCCTTGCTTTGTGTATCTGCATTAATAATAAGCCTGTCAACATGTTTGCAAGGTTGTTTAATGTTTTTTGACCTGAAATATCTGGTTTACCCCCATAGCATTTAAATAAAGGATAGAAGTAGCGGGTATTATTGCCCCTCAACATTGAAGTTTTGTATCGGAGGAATTGTATAGTGATGTTGTGTCTTAGTAATTAGATCAATGGCAGTCAGCTTTTAATTTGTGTTTATTTTTCTTACATTATGCATTTTTGCTTGCATTATGGGTTGTCTTTCATCCCAAAGTTTGAAATTAAGCAGGGTTATTTAGATATATCTATATTTTATACATAAACCATGCTTATTTAGTAGCACAAACTGTCTGGGTGTACCATTGGAATAAACTGGCGTTGATGGAACTATTTGTTTGTTTAGTGTATAGTGTGTAAACCATATACAGTAGCTAATCTAGTATATGGGGCTATAGTTCTTAGTCCCAGAATGAAAAATAAAGTAGATATAGGGCTTATACATCTGGCTGTAACAAATGCAGTGTGAAAGGTTGCATCAATTCCTGCCTGTGAGATCATTTTATGATTTATACTAATGCTGCATTATCTGTTACTAGTATTATAACAATACTACTGCTATAGAAAATGTTTTTTGTAAAACATTGTAGATTTTGTATAAATATGTCCCATGTGACTCACCATTGTCTGTGAATTCAGTTACAGTATAAGCAGATAGCTTACACTGTGGAGATAATTAATAATTAATGTCTTTCCCAATGCTGTACAGAACTATTGCTTCAGCTTTCTTCCACCATGAAGCAGATGGGGCTCAGCATGCATTTGCATGGCTCAGACTCTAGCTGACAGGTACCCTCCTCCGAGCCTATGGAGGAGGGCTGTACAATCGCACCTGCCTCGTCCTGGCAGGTCCTGGCCAGACCTGCCTGCTGTCCTGCTGGCCTCTGGAAAGAGGACTTGGCTAAAAGGCCTGTACAAAGCTCTTGGTTTTCTGGAACATGCTGCTCGCATCCCTCTGTGCAGGTTCTGCTGTCCATTTCCCAGATAAGGAAGTGAAAACAAATCTCAGCATGCACTTCTACTCCCTGCAGAGCTGTTAAAAGTGAATTAGTGCTAATTTGGTTTGAGCCATTATAATAATATCATTTTTAAAATCTGGGTAAGAGAATCATTTTGATATGCTCGAGTACACTAAATAATTCTGCCTCACTTGATTTACTGTTGCTAGCCTCCTTTGGTTGGCTGTTAAGTGCTTGATTATCAGTATTTAATTGATTTGTTTTCACTTGGTCTTTGGAAGATTTCTCAAAATCTGAGAAAGTAAAAGGGGCTCTTGTGTGGTTTCGTTAGGCGTCTACATCACATTTTGATTATCGACTAAGGTTAAGCGATTTCATTATAATACATTAAATAAGAAATTACTTAATGTGTGAAATTTGTAAATGCAAGAAAGCAGCCAACTCCCTCCTTATTAAATTTATGGCATTGGTCGACCAGTTGGGAAAATTACAACATTGATTCATTGAAGGAAGGACAATGAGCCCTTAGCAACTGTAAATAAAGCAGCTCTTACCTCTTAGTCTTTGTGGCTTGGGAGTCCCACTCATTCAGCTTCCTAGAAGGGAAAAATAATTTCTGTCAGGTCTTGAATTCAGGGTCTCTATGCACATGTGCTGTGCTAGCCTTCCAAGAATATATAAAAAAGCATTGAAAACTCGTTAAAACGTTACTGCACCATGGAAGCATCTTCTTCTGTGATAGTTCTGTTGAATAGATTCTCAAACTCAGAATCCAGACAAATAATCTTTCTTTCTTTCATAAATGATTGCCTAAACCCTCATGTTTCTGTTTTATACCAGTAAATATCAGCCCCATATTGATTGGGTTTGTGGGAATACCAGTTGCTTGAAACCCTACGGTTATTATTACTCATTTATTTGTTGGACACTTTTATCCACAGCGACTTTCAGTTGGATACATTGATAGAGCAGTGCATGTTACTGGGGCAATCTGAGTGTAGTACCTTGCTCAAGAGAACAACACCACTGTCCCACTTGGGGTCTGAACCTGCCAGTTCTGAGTCCAGAGCCCTAACAATTTCTCCATACAGCTGCCACGTTTCCACAAAGGACACTGCTCATCTGTCAACTGCTATGAACTGTTTTCATTAGTAGTTGAAGTACCTTGGAGATAATTTCCTTTTGTAATCTAGCAAACACAATAGGGTCTACAGTGCTTTTATCTTTTTTTAATTAAGTGAAGTAAATAATCTAAGCACCAGGCATTTCAATATTTAAATTCATCACTGAAGCATTTTACGTGATGATCTGCCCCAATCATCTAAAATTAAAACCTAAAGAGACTCGCAAAAAGTTTGTGACATCTGTTGCTATCAAATCTGTTTTTATTACACTGCTGATGAAGCCAGATGTTAAAATATATAACAACACTAAACTACAGCATAAATTACATATGACTATTCTGATACATACAGTTATATAGGACCAAGTTAAGCGAAGATGGTACAAAAACATACTGAGAAATTAAAGTGCCATAGTTTATTTTATGTTGATGGCTTGAATGACTTTGAGCTATTAATAATTTACAGTATAATGGAAAATAGAATGAAACTTCTGATCTTTTTTTCATTAAATAAATGGTCTTGTTAAATTGCTAGGATATGCATATAAAGACTAATAGAGATAGCAGTATCAGAAATCATTATTTTTATAAATGTAAACTTAAGCACATTTAAATCAGTTGCATGTCCTTCCTACTACACAGCATAATTGAATGCTAATGTTAATTGAAGAAAAAGAAAATAAAGTAATAACTTGAGTCTTCAGAATTTTGTATTGCTCATGGCTGTATTTGATTCTGTAACATTTGAAGTAATTATTTCACTGTGTGCTAAGCTGGTTTAATAGGGTAGATTTAACAAGACGGATGCTGGCAAGTGCTGTTGCCTAGAACAAGCCCCCCACAGAGATCTGCAGTCAGTCACATGGACTCGGTGCTGTTTGCTTTCAACAGGCAACCGGGCATTGAAACTGTAGAGTTTGTGTTTCTACATTCGGATTTGCCCCTCAATTTTTATCAATGTGTTGTTTTTTTTCTCTGATCAGGAATCTACCTGCTGATTAAGTGAGCAAACACAGGGAGGGAGGCTGGGGGCTTAGTTTGTCTTTGTGGCATTTATATTGTTGCATGCATTTGAAACAGAAGCTCTCTCAGATTGAGCCTCAAGCTGCAGTCTGCTGAGGCTCTGCACCTTGCGAATGCAGAGCAGATTCTGTTCTGTCTCCCTGAAGGACAGGAAGAGCAGGTGAGGGACAAATCTTCTCATGCATGACAGAGGCCCAGGTGACTTCTTATCCCCAAAAAAAAGTTATCCTTGAGTTGAAGGTTGCAGAATGGTAACGCAAAATGATGTGCTGTTCCTTTCCGAATTGCTTTGTTTCTTTACAGACTGCTTTATGTACAGACGTAACGTAACCTTGTTTCCTGTTGCTGACATAAGAAATCTTTGATCACAGCATCTAGTGATTTGGCTATCCTGATAGTCACGGCTTTATCTTTCCCCCTCTGCCCCGCCCTCAGATTGCAGACACACCTTGGCTCATTACACCTACCATGGGGTTTCCAATGGACTCATCCCCATAGCCAAGCTGTTGTTCCCACAGTCAGGAGCACTGAAGCCAAATCGGTATCTCAACTGGAAATCAGAGTAATAAGAGTATCACACAATACCTAAATCAAAAACTCTTGAATTATCAACAAAAAGCAGGCCTATTGATCTTTCAGCCACAAGAAATGGCATAATCTTGAATTCCATGTTCTGTGTTTCACATTTTACAAAACTATGACTTTATACAGCTACTGTACTTTTAACTTACTGGTTTAAGGACGGTACAGTATGTTACACCTAAATGGGTAAAGGCTGCCATTGGCAACATTTTGCTTGCATGTATTTTTCATCCAAATTAATCTCTTCTGCATCAGCAAATTTGTATACAGTACATTCAGCTGTTTTATTTCTTAAAATTTAGTGTATTTAATTCCAGGCATATATGCTGAAACTTAGCATTAGCACAATTCCAAGAACATGCAACTGCATTGTTAATGCGATAAAGGACCATTTCCTAATAATTTTGTAATAATACAACAGTAATAAAAAGGTGACCTATATTTTTTTTTAAAGGAATTACTTTGCTAAGCAAATTGGCTGCTATCCCTTGCTATCATGTAATGAGTAAAGGGTTAGAAAAAGCAACAAATAACCATATTTCTAAGAAATATTAAGTTGAAACTTATATTATCAACACATGAAACTATATCTTTTTTGTACCATATATTGATTTACTGTAGCTGGATAACAGCTGGATTGTAAGAATATTGCTTTTTAAAGAAGCTCCATGCTGGCCAGAAAATGTTTGACCCACCAGTTACTCACAGAGGACAAACCTTTTACATGATAGCAGATTTCTATTGGGTAGATGCAAGAATCCTATTTGTAAAAGAAATAAATGCCTGTAATAAAGTGTGGGTGCACAATCAGCAGGAGTAGGAGACCAGGTAGTCACAGCTCATGTGGTTCTCCAGGTAAAACAGTGACCGTCTGACTTTCTGCATGCCTGCAGTTCTGAGACTTGGTGCTGCTTCAGTTGGAACTGCATGTCCTCGTGGGTAAGTCTTAAAAACGTAGAGGCTCCAAATTCCATTGGTATGTAATAAAAGATTATTGGT